CCAGCAAAGTTGGAAAACTCAGCAGTGGCCACAGGACAGAAAAAAGGTCAGTTTTCATTCCAATCCCAAAGAAAGGCAATGCCAAAGAAAATTCAAACTAACACACAATTGCATTCATCTTACATGCTAGCAAAGTATGTGAGCTAGCAAAGAATGCTAAAAATTCTCCAAGTTAGCCTTGAACAGTATGTGAACTGAGAAATTCCAGATGGTCAAACTGGATTTAGAAAAGGCAGAGGTCCAGAGATCAAATTGCCAACATCTGTTGGATCACAGAAAAAGCAGGACAGTTCCCGAAAAACACCTACTTCTGCTTTATTGACTATGCCAAGCCTTTGACTGTGTGGATTATGACAAACTGGAAAATTCTTAAAGAGATGGGAATACAAGACCACCTGACCTGCCTCCTGAGAAACCTGCATGCAGTTCAAGAAGCAACAGTCAGAACTGGACATGGAACAACAGACTGGTTCCAAATGGGGAAAGGAGTACGTCAAGGCTGTATATTGTCACCCTGCTTACTTAACTTATATGCAGAGTACATCATGAGAAATGCCAGGCTGGATGATACCCAGGCTAGAATCAAGATTTCTGGGAGAAATACAATAATCTCAGATTTGCAGATGACACCACCCTTATGGCAGAAAGCAAAGAGGAACTGAAGAGCCTCTTGACACAAGTGAAAAAGGAGAGTGAGTGAAAAAGCTGACTTAAATCTCAACATTCAAAAAATGAAGATCATGGCATCTGGCTCCATTACTTCATGGTAAATTGATAGGGAAACAGTGGAAACACTGACGGGGTTTATTTTCTTGGCCTCTAAAATCACTGCAGATGATTTTCATGACTGAAGCCATGAAATTAAAAGATGGTTGCTCCTTGAAAGAAAAGCTATGACCAACCTAGACAGCATATTAAAAAGCAGAGAGACATTACTTTGCCAACAAAGGTCCATGTAGTCAAAGCTACAGTTTTTCCAGTAGTCATGTGTGGATGTGAGAGTTGGACTATAAAGAATGCTGAGTGTCACAGAATTGATGCTTTTGAGTTGTGGTGTTGGAGAAGACTCTTGAGAGTCCCTTGGACAGCAAAGAGATGAAACCATTCAATCCTAAAAGAAATCAGTCCTGAATATTCATTGGAAGGACTGATGCTGAAGCTGAAGCTCCAATATATTGACCACCTGATGTGAGGAACTGATTCATTGGGAACGACCCTGATGCTGGGAAAGATTGAAGGCAGGAGAAGAAGGGGACAACAGAGGATGAGATGGTCGGATGGCATCACTGACTCAATGGACATGAGTTTGAGCAAGCTCTGGGAGTTGGTGACGGACATGGAAGCCTGGAGTGCTACAGTCCATGGGGTCGAAAAGAGTCGAACACAACTGAGTGACTGAACTGAAAAAGAAATAGGGGTTTAAAAAGTAACTAAATTAGTTTTTAATTTAAAAATGTCAAGCTTCCTAAAATGTCCATATCCTACCACTCAAGTTAAGGAGGTCTACTAAGATAATGCCTCAGCTTCTGGATTTAGATATTGGCTTCCAATGTTATTATTCTACACCACATTCCTCTTTTAAATAATTAGATTAAAAAAATCTCCAAGGCTGATGTATGCTTTTTTCCCTCAGAATGGCAAATCAGAAATAAAAAGACATAATGTAATTTGATTGTGCTCTGTGCTCAGTCGTTCAGTCATGTCAGACTCTTTGTGATCCTATAGACTGTAGCCCACCAGGCTCCTCTGTCCATGGGATTCTCCAGGCAAGAATATTGGAGCAGGTTGCCATTTCCTCCTCCAGAGGATCTTCCTGACCAGGGATGGAATCCACGTCTCCTGTGTCTCCTGCATTACAGCCAGATTCTGAACCCACTGAGCCATCTGGGAAGCCAACTCTATTTACAAATGCAAAAGCACATTTGTAAGTTTTCATATTTAACATCTTTTGGAAAAAATATTAAGACTGACTTTCAGGGGGCTCCTGAGTCATATTTCTCTCAAGTTTGGCTGACCTATCATATTTCTTTTTTAATTTTATTATTATATTTTTGATTTTTAACTGGAATATAGTTGACTTAAAATGTTGTGTTAGTTACTGCTGTAAGGCAATGTGAATCAGTTATACATACACATATACCCACTTTTTTAGATTCTTTTCCCATATAGATCATGATAGAGCACCTATCACATGTCTGATAGCTTCAGACAGCTCACTAAGACGCATCATTTTAGCTGTGAAATGAAAGCAGTTCTTTACTGAGATAATGATCAAATCTGATTTTTGAAGCTCGTTTGATGCTTGGGAACAAACAGCTCTACTGACCCAAGCCCATAACACCCTGAAGGGTTTCCATGCCTGAGATTGTCCTTCAATAAAAATTGTAAATGAACATCTTGTCTTCAGAAAATACTGGTACTTTAAGGCACTTCGTTTTGAGAAACTGCAAATCCAGATACTTAAAGTTTAGCATGATGGATAACAAGCCAATCAAGACTGGATATGAAACAGCTGTATACAAAGTTTGATCTGGAAGAAATGAGTTAAAGAAGCAACAATTAACAAAGCTGAGGATCCCCCAGAGTTAGAACAGAGTACCAAGTAATAAAATATGGGGCAACTTTGCTTTAGGGTCCTCAGAATTCGTTGTGATTATTTGTTAATAGATGTAGATTCAGGATGATCTCTCCAGAATAATTTCTTAAACTATACTTTAATGAAGATATTATTTAAAAACACAGTATTATGGTTTCCTTAAATTACACTTTCATGTTTATCCTACTGAGGAGAATTTGTTTGGAAGAGGAATTATGTGCTTTTTCTCTGACCATGTGGCTACTTCTTCCTTGTGTGTAGCTGTTTTGGGCAAGAAATTCTTGTCTTGTCAACCAGTGCTGTGTTGCTGTCGTTGTTGAGTCACTAAATCATGTCTGAGTCTTGGGCGACACCAGGGACTGTAGCCCACCTGGCTCCTCTCTTCAGGGGATTTTTCAGGCAAGCATTTTGGAGTGGGTTGCTGTTTTTGTCTCCTGGGGAACCCGAATCTCTTGCGTCTCCTACATTGGCAGGTGGGTTCTGTCCTGCTGGGCCACCAGGGGAAGCCCAACCACTGCTGTAGATCAGCTCTGTTTCCTTCTAGACAATAGCTTCGCTTCAGCAATGTCCAGGTCTAGACTCTGTTTCTATGCCAACTAAGAGAGAAAGGACTTGTAAACTAAGAAAACGTAAACTGCAAAGTACTTTTTAAGAGGTTAGGGTTTATTTTTCATAGGGATTCTGAAATCTCTTTAAAGTTCAGAGTCATGGACAATTTTTAACATTTGAGTCAGTTTCATTTATTATTAACTCTTGCAGAAAAATAAACCCTCCAGTATGCCTTTTATTTGTGTTTAGATTTTTCCCCTTTGGGGAAGAACAGAAAGAATCATAAAGACAGTATGAATCAGCTAGCTCAAACTCACTGATGTCTTCTGAAACAGTAACGGGACAAAGCATTAAGAAAGAAAGTCATACAGCTTTACGTCCAAATGTGAGTTCCTTGAGATTGGGGTGGGGGGTTGTGAGTAGAACTTTCTTACACTTAGGGAGATCTAAGATCCAGTGGTAATCTTAACTTTGGCTATAAAATTATCACTTCTAATTGTAGATCTTCAATATAGATTCCCAAAATATAAAGTTTAGAAAAGACCTCCTTGCCCTTTATTATGCAATTGTTAGTGTCTCGACTTTGGTGCCTGCTGCAAAATGACAGACTCCTTTATATAGGAGCTGCCTGGATGAAGCCTTTGACTAAAGTGTAGATGCCGATAGCTTTTCCTCTCCATTTCTCTCCCTTTTGCAATTCATAGCTGTGTAATTAGAGATTAGTATCAGCAAATGCCTGAATTTTCTATCTCATCTTAGAACTGAATTTCCAAAGAAGGTATCGCTGTTGAATAACTCACCACCTAATCCTTTCTGTTTTCACCAAAGATTTTTAGCCATCAACTGGTTTTCTGGACAAGGGATTAAAAAGTCCTCCAAATAGCACAATCAAATCATTTTGCCTAAACAAAGAGATTGAATTTAGTGTGTTGAATGGACTCTGTTTTCGTTGGGCTATGAGACTCTGCAGTGTGAAATGTTTTACATTCTCTGTCTGCCAGTTCTGGTTTTGCTCATTATATATAAAAAGCTTCTCCATCCCATTTTCAGCTTCCTTTTTTTTTTCTTTTAACAGAAATGCTGGCATGCAACTTACCTCCAGGAATAGCTCTGAGCTGATGCTCTCAACTTAGTCATGACAATTACATTTCTCTCCTCTTTGGAAATATTCTCCCCCAATTTCTGTAATTATGACCCCATAAGAGCTAGCTAATTTCAGTTAAAATGAAACATGTAGCTTTGTAGAACATACAGGAAGCAGACTACTTCATCAAGGAAGAAGAGATCACAGTGTTGATTTCTCATATCAACAATATGCCTTACAATCTAAGCCACAAGAAACATTTATCTATAAGAACATCTTTTCCCTTGGAAAGGAGGGTTTTTATATGTAAAGCTCAGATACAGTACAGAATATTAAAATTCATGCTTGTATATTTCTTATGTTGAGAAGGTTTTCAAATAACGACGATAACATATAAAAGTGGTAGAACATTTTTACAGTTTTCATGTTGGAAAATACCTATTAGAAGAAGTGATAAAATATACTGAAAAGAATCTAAGAGAGCCCTTGATTGGGCTTTTGTTTCTCATCATGCAATTCTATTTCTGAATCTCTTTCTCAGTTTTAAAACTAAAAACAACATGGATAGAGAATTGGTAAGATTAATTTGCCTGTTGAAATGAGAAAAGCAGAAGAATCATGAGCTTTGGCCTGTCACCCTCTGTATAAACCAATTACGTATTTTCAAAAGGTTACTTTCCCAATGCTGAATTTAATGATTACGTCCTCATGAACACAGGTTCACGACTCCCCACTTTTTCAGTCTGCAGCCCCAGAGCTGTGTTTACTTACAGAAGCGCAGTTTTCAGACTTGTCTTCCACAAGACCAATCTGGCAGGGTGTTCTCTGATTCTGCAGCCAGTAGTCTGTAGACTCCAGCAGGCTATTACTGCGGAGAATCTAAGGAAACCGAGAAAACCTTCTCAGAGCTACTGGCAAGACTTTCTATTTAAACAAAGAGCTCTTTTCTAAAGAATCTAGAAGTGTTTTGCTGGCCTCAGAGCATCTGGAGATTAGAGGAAAAAATACTTGCAGGATAACAGCACCTCTAAAATATGTAAAACAGTCAACCAAGAATCTACTTTAAAGGAACGCATTGATGTGAATATTGTTGTTTCTTCTCTCATCGTAATTCAACATCTGGAAACTTCAGTGTACCTGTGACTTTTGCATAGCTTGTAGTCAAATGACTGTTTGGGGTATGGTTCAATTGGCAATGAAGATCACACTTCATTTAAGTGTTGGAGCTCTTTTACATTCTGTGAATACTTTGGATTGAAATGTAGTGTTTCTCCATTTGGTGCAATAATGATATTATTATTCTTTAGCTTTCCAGCTGTGCTAACTTCTCTATGAAATAAGGCACAGTTCTTTTAGAACATTTAGGGTACTACACTAAGTTTAAAAGTTATTAGGAATAAATAAGTGCATTACAATAGCCATCTCCCTTGTAGAAACAGTATGGTAATGCAAAGTGAATTTCAATACACTAATTAACAAACCAAATATGGTTTACAAATGTCTTGTTTCTGGGTTTTGATTTTAAAGAAATAAAGAAAAAATCACATTTCTGAATGGAAACATTTTCAAGATGTAGTCTCATAAACAATCAAATAATTCAGCTTTTGATGTTTTAATGCAACTCAAATATTGTATAAGATTTTTCTCATATAAGAGTTCCATGCTCTCCTGGTACTCTCTACTCTACTGGGGCACATGTCTGCCAATATTTGACAACCACTTTCACTTAAGTAACAGAATAGATTTAATGAGTTTTGGTTACTGCCACAAAAATAGAATGACACTTCAATTATATTTCATTTGCACACTGAAGGATTGTCTTCCTTTGTTCTATAAAAATACTTTAATTTTTGTCTCTGCATACTGAGTTAACCAAATATAATTCTGACACATTTTTTTATAATGTTTTTGTGTTAGCCACACGATATTATTTTAATATTTTTCCCTCTCAAGGTTTATTATTCTGGAGATAACAAATTTTCATCATTCTTTTACAGAACAATACCAAGAGTCAGTGTGGGATGGACTTCAGTTATCACTGTAAATGAAAGTCGGAGATGAAACTTCTCAGGTCTCTTAGAGTTTATATAAAAATTGCGGTTCTTAAAGTGTGAATTGGGACCTATAGAGGTCCCAGGGGCCTTTCAGGGAGTCCAGTGGTCAAATTATTTTTATAATTGTATTGTCTTTATTTTCTCTTTTCAATTGAATTGTCTCCTGAGTACTCAGTGGAGTTCCCCAGGGTCCACATGAAGTGTGATAATGTAATAGGCTAAATGCAGAAGCAAATAGGAGAGTCCAGCTGAGTTCTTTTAAGTTAGATATTAAGGAGATTTGCTGAAAATGTAAAATAAAGTTACTCTACTCACAGAACTGTTTTTTTTTGGAAAACATATGTATTGGTCATAAAAATATGTATGTTAACATGCAGTGTGTTTATTTTTATTTTAAAATTATTTTTAAGCAATAAATTATGGCTATTTAAATTCTAATTACTATTTCAAGATTAAAGAAATACGTATTTAGAATTTTCTTAGCTTTTTTCTTATGAATTATGTTTATTTAGCTGCTTTAAGTTTTTGTTGGGGCTTCCCAAGTTGCACTAGTGGTGAAGAACCCGCCTGCCAATGCAGAAGACATAAGAGACACGGGTTTGATCCCTGGTTTGGGAAGATCCCCTGGAGAAGGAAATGGCAACCCACTCCAGTACTCTTGCCTAAAGAATCCCATGGAGAGAGAGCTTGGTGGGCTACAGTCCATAGGATCACAGAGTCAGTTATGACTGACGAGACTTAGCACACATGCACAAGTTTTGGTATTTTTGTTTCTATGTGGCATCAGAGACTTCATCAAAATATCCTGAAAACACAATTTAGCAAATAGAAAGTTATTTTTAATTGTTTTTAATTTAAAATTTTTATTTTATATTGAAGTATAGTTTATTAACAGTGCATTAGTTCCAGATATACAGCGATACAGATATACAGATATACAGTGATTCAGTTATACACATACATGGATCTATTATTTTTCAAATTCTTTTCTCATTTAGGTTATTGCAGAGTATTGAGCAGAGTTCTCTGTGCTATATAGTAGGTCCTTGTTGGTTATCTATTTTATACAATAGGATTAATATGTTAATCCCAAATTCCCAATTTACCCCTCCTCCAACCTTTCCTCCTTGGTAATCATAAATTTGTTCTCGAAGTCTGTGAGTCTGTTTCTGCTTTGCAAATAAGTTTATTTGTATCATTTTTCTTAGATTCCACAAGTGAGTCAAAGACAAATATATGATATGATATTGCTTATATGCAGAACTTTTCTTAGGTTTAATTTATAAGATGGACTATATCAATAAGAACAACCCATATAATCAAAATTTTCACAAGGTCCCCAGCGTTTTTGTAGTGCAAAGGAGTTTTGATTTCAGAAACATTAAAATTGAGAACCATTGATCTAGATCAACTTTATTTGAAGTAGAAAAAGATTCTCAGTCTACTTCTTCCACTGCCATTCACTTTTACTTCCAGCATAGAATATAATTTAAGAAAATGGACATTAGTGATCTGTGTTGAAATCTTATCCTGGTAGCAAGAAGACCTTGGATGGCTGATTTAAATTCTGTCTCAGTTTCTGTACCTGTGAACGGAGGCAGTAAATACCCACTTAGGGGGGATCACTGGGGTATTCAGAGAGATGTCGTGTGTCAAACACAGCAGTGTGCAAGATGGTACATCATCCTCTTAATATATGGTTCTCATTGTTACTGTTCGATATGAACTACAAAGGAAATAGAAAATTGGATGTCTTTGTTTGAAATTAGTACATTGAAAACATTTCAGATGTGTGAAGACAAATTTTCTTTAGCAAATCTTCTGACCTAAAAAGTGTAAGTTCAGTTTTACATGTTGCTGTGACCCTAAAATTGCTCTGAAAAATAAAACATATCATGCATTTAAAAAATAACTAAAATGCAACCTAAATCTTTCAATTGCTTAACAACAAATACTTTGAAGAGAATGTCTCTTGTAAGAATAATCATTCCCCGTGTAACTTAAAATGTGACTTTTATTCATCATAATTAAAAAATAGCTTACTTGATTTTATCAACAATTAAATTTCACTATTTATTTAGAGATATTTGCTGCTGCTAAGTCACTTCAGTCGTGTCCGACTCTGTGCGACCCCATAGACGGCAGCCCACCAGGCTCCCCCATCCTTGGGATTCTCCAGGCAAGAACACTGGAGTGGGTTGCCATTTCCTTCTCCAATGCATGAAAGTGAAAAGTGAAAGTGAAGTTGCTCGGTCATGTCCGACTCTTAGCGACCCCATGGACCACAGCCCACCAGGCTCCTCCATCCATGGGATTTTCCAGGCAAGAGTACTGGTAGAGATATTTACAGGTTATTAATTATTTAATACTTTATATTCTTTAATTACTGACCAAGAAATACTACATTTAATTGAGAACTCTCTGGGCTAAGGTCCTATTTAGTTATTATCTGAATTAAACACCTAGACTTACGAGGTAGAATTTGAGGGCTAATATGTGATATGTGCTTAAAATAGTTCTTGGCATGTAGCAAGTGCTCAATAAACATCAGTTCAGTTCAGTTCAGTCACTCAGTTATGTCCGACTCTTTGCAACCCCATGGACTGCAGCATGCCAGGCCTCCCTGTCTATCACCAACTCCCAGAGTTTTGGAGTTTCAACTTCAGCATTAGTCCTTCCAATGAATATGCAGGACTGATTTCCTTTAGGATGGACTGGTTGGATCTCCTTGCTGACCCAAGGACTCTCAAGAGTCTTCTCCAACACCACAGTTCGAAAGCATCAATAAACATCAGCTCTTATAAAAATTATTATTCTCTTTGCCCAGACTTCAAAGGATTTATACTTTTTCTTCACACTCTGTGAACCAGTCCCTCTGGTCCCAAAGCCCCCATAACAGATTGCTCCATTGCAAGGTAGTAAAGTTACATAATTTCTCATCTTCCAGTTCTACCAAATATATGTCTATGCATTTACCCATCTCTCCCGCAGGGACCTGTTCTGGGTGGTCAGAAGGTCTGAGTTCTAGTCCTAGCCCTACTGTCTGTGTGGTCAGGTTACCCACCAGCTCCCAGGCTCAGTTTGTCTTCTGTACACAATGAAATCATGTGATCTGAAGCACGCTTCTCTGGAATAACAGTAATTCTCTGCCTCTCTTCTCCTTTCATTCCTTCTGCTCTTCCAATTCCCAAATATATTAAGAAGCAAATAAGCAAAGAGAATAAAAATGCAGGCATCAATAAACCATTTAGCATCATATGTTAAGCAATTTTGACCTGTGAAAAGGTTTTGGTGTAATGGTTTAGACAAATCATTAGGAAAAAAGAAGAATGCTTGAAAGAAGAATACGTGTTTGAGAATATAATGATTTTAAAGCTTTATGAATATAATCTCCCTGCAGAGAGAGTCACTTTCTGATGGGGGTAGGGAAAAAGAAAAACTCACCAGGCTTTCCATGGCTCAGTTATTTATCTGCTATTTTTAGTTGCAGGTTCAATTATTTCAGATGAAGAGCTAATGACAAACATGCTGTACATTTACAAGTTTGAAATAATAATGACATATTTTCTCTTAAAATTTCGTTGTGTCCTAAACAATGAAGAAAGATCATTCTGCTTTCCTGTACAGTGATTTTCCTTTTCTATATAGAAAACCAAGTTGCAGGAGTTTAGTATTGATGTGGAATCCATGCACCTGAACATTGATGGATTTTGGTAACCTGAACACAGCTCTAAATATTACTGAGCAATGCTTTAAAATTAATAAAAGTAATTAAATTGGAGAAGACAGCAATTTAAGTTTAGTCACACTTCTATTTCTATACTA